TTTTTTTATTGGTCTGGGTGTTTGCTATGTATATGTGCTAATCGTATCACGCATTAACTATAGGTAATGTAAGATTAAGAGGACAAAGAATAACTTTAAGAAAAACAGGTGCTATGATTGAAAATTAAGATTTGATCGGACTTTTTGATAATTTTTGTTAAGAATGAATGAGATAGGAAAATAAAAATCGACGTAGTAGAGACATAACGCAAGTTTTGAGATCCAACATGAACCGAAAATACAAATCCACACTCAAGGGTCCACGCCGGTTGTTGGTTGAAGCTACTGATTATTGATTTGCGAAGACCTCAGTAGTAAAAAAATGGGAGGAAATAATATTGAAAGACCTAGTTCAAGTTTAGAGTACCTAGAACTGAAAAAACAATATTACCTCAGTTCTAGAGGGAGTCCGTGAGCTTTCGCACATAAGCTTTAAAGATAAATAGATTAGACTTAGGCAGTTTAGCAACGACAAAACTGTGTAACTGATTAAATGCTGAGAATCAAGTGCTAGAAGATAGCAAGCTTATTTCGTGTCTGTATAGGTAGGTATACCTAGAGGTGTAGAGTCCATATAATGGTATATTTATATAGGTATTTTATTTATTTATATATCATCATTATCATCATCATTACAGCCCTTATTTATATACCTATATGTGTGTGTGTGTAACATATATTTAGGTATATTATAATAGACAAATTAATTAAGAAATTGTTATTGAATACGAAAAATTATTAAAAATTATAATTATTTTAGAAAAAATACGCGAAAATATTTCCATGTTTAATTAAATCATAAAATACGGAGTGTTTTTTTTTTAATTGAATAAATGGCAGAATAGCAACACGAGTCCACTGAACGTCATACAAAACAGTGTTATTATCTCGTCGCGGCCGTGAACCCAATCTGTGGCAAGTGCAATGTGCTACAGATTGAAGGAGAGCCACATAAATAACAGTTGGTGTCATTGCGGCCCGAGATGACTGACTGACCAATTTACAATGACCTTTCGATCTATCACTCAAATACGTGATACCTGCACTTTCAAACTTAGTGCTATATATTATATTATAGGTATAGAACGAATAGCAAATACATCCAGGTAAGGTATGACGTATTTAGAACGTCATGTAGAGATAGGTATGCTGACGGAGAGATAAACGTAACGAACTATAGTAAGTAGTCACTTGAAAAATTATTGTTAACGCATTTTGAATTTACAAAATTACGCCTGCTTGTTATAATAAAATCCATACCGGTAGAGGACCTTTGCGGTAAGGCCTCCCTTTTCCGACAATGGACTGATGAGAATAATAACATAAAAAATTGTTTCATATCAAAAAAAGTCAAATTATTTTTTAACACAATCACATCAAATCATAATAATTATAGGTCGAGTTAAACGAGGCAACACAAAAGAGTGTTTTAGACCAAAAAAACATCTACCAATGACTTCCGCAGCGCCTATTGCATTACTGAAACGTCCAACAGATAAATACGTGGCCATTTAAAATCCTGCAAACCATAATTACCTCAATTTCAAACTTGTCAAAAACGCATTAGTTCACCTTACGAGGAGAATAATGGTGCGCCTTCAGCGCTCATTGGACGCGAGGGATTATTAAAAAGTCATTAGCGTCGACCACACCTAGCCGTATAAATAACCCGGTTCGTGTTTTGAAACAGAAAAAAGCAATTTCCAGATTTGTGGGGGGCGCGGCGGGGACCAATCAGCCGTGACTGATACGGTAGGAACCGTGCCCGTATCACGCGAAATCATTATTTGGTCGTTAGAGGCAAGTATTGTAAAGTTGTATCTTGCTTCACAATCTGCCCGGAAAAGCGTGAGATTGCTTACGAAGAAACATGAACACACCTCGTTCATGTTTTCTTTTAAACAAAACAAGGGATAGTTGAATCGAGGTAATTTTCATTAACTATTTGTCAGGATATTAATTTGAAATACATATATACAATGAACAAGATTTTAGCTACTTTTGAAATTTAACATTTTTAAAATAAATCTATTTTAAAGTATATAGTTACCTACCAACATTTATATCCTGTTTGAAAAATTAGTCTTATTGGAAATTCGAAAATCGGCAAACAGTTTAGTGCAAGTTAATTACAACGAGTTATAATTCCAGAACTGAATAAAATCAAACGTTTATACGCGAGAAAATTAAAATATATGTATGACTTAAATTAGTAATACGCTTACATATAACGCACTTACAATCAGTTAATATAAACAATAACTATAATGTTTAATTTTTTTTGTATTTAATATAACTTAATTAAGTACGATACTGCATAGGATTTAGTACCAGAAGTATACTTAATCCATTATGCGTATTATAAAAAGTAAACATATAAAATACACATACATATATTTAAAGATATAACATATAGATTGTGTCATAAAATGTATGTACTTTCGTGCATCTTACAGAATTATGTAAAAGTCTTAGCTTTTTGTAATAATATCACCTTTCCATCTCAATAAATCTAGATTAAAATAAGAGAGTAAATATACCTTCACTTTGAAAGTTTATTGAAACATTTCATTGAAGTAGTATTTATAACATGTTGAATAAATGAATAAATTATTATCAGGAATGGAATAAAAATCTTGACAATACAATCATTATGCTTTATTAATTTCATGTATTTATATATTTATGACAATATCGTCTCGCCTAATCTTATTAAGTTACTAATTATAGTTATATTCCATAAATTTTGAATTGATAGGACATAATGGTAAATAAAACAATTCAAATTGCTTTGATCATAACTTCTACGGGCCTAATTTCGATTTTTTTAGAAATTCTCAGGTCAGATGCCAGTACTTAGATTAAAACCTAACAGTAAAGTTTGCAATTAATGTAATTATATTTTATTAAAAAAACTTTACAAATCAAGTTCAAATTGGATAAATCCATCTGGCAAGGGACTTACGTTTTTTGCATTCTCATTTCATTGCACTGCAAATTAACTGCAAATAATTATAATTATTTAAATAATGACTTCAATAAGGTATTTCTGATGTAAGTAAAAATTTGTAAATTATTATACAAAAAAATTCTTAACTGCTAATAGACATTACAACACAAATATGTGATGGTTTGAGCAAATTTTACACAAATAATATAATAACATCCCAGCCAGACAGCGACTGAACTATTTACGAACACAGCAAATAAACGTACCGACCTAATTAAGCAAATCAATAAATAAATATCGTGTAAATATCGACAATATACAGTTATTACAATTTACACTTATGTAACGAACACAGCACAAAACAGATGTGTAAAGGATGACAAGGCTCACTGAGTTCTAAGTCAAAACATTTACTAGTTACATTACTATGTGTAAAAAAGAAAAGAAACAATTTACAATAAATATTTTACATTACAGCTAAACAAGTATATTGGGAATTCCTGATTCCTAATAAAACCTCAATCATCGTCCCTTTCAATTATTATAGTCGTTCAGCTATCGAGTTACATGTAAATATTTAAATTTCGATATTTGTTTACGTATATACGTTTCTTTAGGCAATGATTTTATAAAAATACCTCTTGCTACGTGTCTTCAAGAGACGTACTGTGGCCAAATGATACTCATATGCTAAGTTTATAATATTATAAACAGTACTTTTGTTGAATGCTAAGAAATCAGCCGTGTATTCTCTAACTTTGGTATACTGTGTACTCGTCCCAGCTATCGACCACCCATATAATTAAATTACAAAGTAAATAAGTATAGAGTCACATCTACGTGATTGAAGGTAACTTTTATTCCATTATGATTAAGTCCTTCGACAAATTCAGTTGGAATTGAAGAATTTTGTTCACACTTAGCTCCATCTAATGGCACGACGTTTATGTTCGTGTAGAAGAATTTAATAAAATTATATCAAGAGATATTAGTTTCACTTTACAATAATAATATTAGATTTCGTATTACTTTATAATCAGTATTAATTACGTATAATGTTGTCTTCGAAAAATCGTATACATTGCACTTGTATAAACTGGCCTTCCCACTACGAAGTAAAATTGTTAAATAAAACCTGCGGTAAATTCATAAACTGAGCACTCATTCTCAATGGATTAAAAATAACAAACAAAAACAATTGATGTTTTATTCCAAAAAAATCTCATTAATAATATTATTCACACTAAAACAATTGTACATAACTATAAATTCTAAACTTTACCGTGTTTTATATGTACAACATAGCATTCTGATAGCTTAATTAGAAATAAAACTTCAAATATATTAAATAATAACAACATCGATTCTAATTGCCTTCTCATCAATGGTTAATTATAAGAGGTCCTTATGGTTTTGTGATTCAATGTAAGTAAGAATAGTGTTTATTTTCTGCCAAAGTGCTCGACCGTATTACCAGTAACTAATATACTATCGTGTTTTTTAAATAGTCTCATTTTATAAAGTTTATAGCAGTAGGTCACAGAGTACTAAATAAAAATCAATTATGCACATATTATAAGTCGAACACTTTGACAGAAACAGTTGTACGAAATCAATTGCAACAGAGTATAATATAATTTTTGTCCGATTTTCAAATTATAATCCATCTATATTTAATCACATAAACAATGCAGTTTTACTAATATTTAAACACTGCTTTTTTGGTAATTATTGGTATTGAGATGTTCTATAAATTAATTTATACTTAACAACTGTAAAAATCTCTTCATCACACTATCATTACTCTTTATGCCAAGTCACTAAGTTACGTATTAGTTAGGTATAGTGTAATATTATGAAAAGTCCAACATACAATTTATACAAATTAAAGTTCCAGTAACTTCGGCCCTCGAGTCGACTGTTTCAGGTTTAAGCCCACAAATTCAACGTATCAAAATAAATTGTCGATGTTATATCGGTTGAAAGGAATCCGAAACGTACCGAGATTGTTTCAGATTGCCGGCCGTTGACCAAAACTAAGCTAAGGGTTTTACTGTGGCGATGTTGGCGGACTCATGTTGTCCGGCTCGTCTCCTGAGCCTGGCTCGCCTTTGGTTTTGTTCTCTTTCTTCCATTTCATGCGTCGATTCTGGAACCAGATCTTGATCTGGCGCTCGGTGAGGCAGAGCGCGTGTGCGATCTCGATCCTTCTCCTTCGCGTCAGGTACCGGTTAAAATGGAATTCCTTCTCCAGCTCGAGGGTCTGGTACCGGGTGTATGTCTGCCTTCCCCGCTTCCGTTCTGAAATTGGAAAAGTAAGAACATTGAGAACTGATTTACAAAGAAGTAAAAGAAATATCCCATACAACTTTTTGCAGGGATTACAAATTACTCATGTCACATTGAGTACTTTGCTTCATTTGTTTGGTCAACATATTATATTAATTCAATTCGTTAATATCTCTATAAATTTACGTTTGTATAGATTTAATTCGTATTAATGTTAGCATGAGGCAGCCCTGAATGAAATCAGACGTTAAAAACTGCATAGGCATTTCTGATAAATGACGGTTATTTGTAAACAACGAACACTCCTGGGGAAGTTAATTGAAAATTGTTTTGAGCTTATCAATTTGTTAATTGTTTTTGCTTGTTCGGAATTACTCTTCGCTGTCGGGAGTAACAAAGTTTTATAGAAAACAAAACCTTTTAAAACTCTATCGCCGAGAAATAAGAGCAAACAACGAATTTCTAAAATGTGTTAACACTTGACAAGTTACGCAAACCTTTTCCTACTACGAACGGTCATATTAAAATTAACTTTTATATTATAAAAGTATAAACAAATTGATTCAAAATTTAATATATATAATACAGATTCCTGGTAGATTCACAAATATCTTACACGAATTTCAGAGTTAAAAATCTTTGGTATGGATCATATTCGAGCCTTTCTGTCTGTTTACTCATAAACACGTTTTCCGAACGGCTACCGAAGCCAATTAAAATAATTTAAGACGCCGCAGGCCTGTTTCATTTTATAACCATTAGTCTTCGAGGAAGATGCGGAGCCTATTATGCACGGTTTAGATGATGCCCTGTACTCTGTAATTTGTCAGGGATAAAAGTAAAATAAGTTTAAAACGTGGAAGGATAGTTATAGATATTATAAAGGTCGCGTCAAGATTTATCGCAAAATAAATTACTCTGTTATCAATAATTGTTTGACATTCACATGCAATACGAGTGACGTTGATCAAAATCAGTCAATACGTCGTTTAATTGCTTTGTACGCAAATAATACCTAGCAGCAAACGCTAGTGTATACAGTGGGACTTTAGATCTGACGGCTCTTAATGACGTTACGGTATGTGACCGCTTTAAGATTTATGTATCGGGGTTCAAGTTCTGCATAAATTTATACGTAGATTACAGATATTAGAATTTCAGTATAAAATCTTCCATATGGGTCAGGAAATAAGATAGTGAATCTACGAATAAATACATCATAATAAAATCTTGTGAGAAAATCTAGCAGACAGAGCATTTTTCAAGAACCAATTAAAGTGGACTCCTACACTAACCAGAAGTCGTTTAGAAAAGTATACCCCTGATGAAGCTATTTCTGTCAAATTCCGATTACTATATAATATTATATCTTCATATTTTCCTGGTAAATAATTCAGTCCACCACAAAACTTCAAAATAAGATTGTACTTTAAGCACGTGTTGACAGTGATGACTTACGAATCTGAGACGTGGTCCTTCATTGCTGGCCGTACGAGGACGCTCAAGATTGCTCAGTCAGCTATGGAGGGGGCTATGCTCCGGGTTTTTGTGCACGATAAACTTAAAAATAAGGATATCTGCAGTAGAACCAGAGTAACCGACATAGTATTAATGAAGTTTTTTTTGTTTATGGCCAAGCTGACATGCCATAATGCATATTGTGTAGGGAATATTTGGGCAGACTGGCTAAGGAGACATGCCCCTTCTAGACACAACTCATTAAAAACAATGAGTTTGCAAAACAAACAAATTTGAGAAGATTTTGGAGCAGAAAATAGTTAGCCACGCTCCTCGAATGTTTGTGTTACTTGAGAAACTTTTTAACCCCTGTCGAAAAAACCTGAGTGTGTTTTTTTCTGTGGCGTCATAGCTTCAAACGGATGAACAGATTTTGATTTAGTTTTTTTTTTGAAAGGTAATTTGATTGAGAGTGTTCTTAGCTATGATTCAAGAAAATCTTTTCAGCCAGAAGACCATCGGCTCATGCAAGCTTCCTTAACACTACTACAGACTATGTGTTTGAAATTCTAAAACTGCGTAACGGTAATCTATAAATATACCTTTCGGTAAATTTAATTTAAAATAGAGAAATCGATCATTATAACAGTCTAATTGCATCAATTATTTTAAATGATTTCAGACTATTATTTTTATTATTAGGGAACTATGCTACCTTAACTGTTTTCTCTAATAAAACATTTTGTTTAAATAAGGTACGTGGGGGTAATATGGTCACTTTAAACTTTGCCGCCCTATAAAATCAAAACTAGGAGAATGACAGAGACAAAAATACGTAGTCGTATACTATAACTAATATATTAAGAAAAAATAAGCAAACTAGCTTTGGCAATCATTAGAAAAACTTCGAAAAATCAACTTTAAAAAAACTACACTACACCATACTAAATTCGACTAAACTATTTACAATAATATCAACTTAAGCCCTTTATTATTTGATTGACTAATGAAAAGCTATCGTATCACAAAGCCATCTACAACAAACAAGGCTGTAGTTTTTGAGTTATAAGAAAGTGACCATATTACCCTCACGTACTACCTATATAAAAGATTTTGTTACATTGATTTTCCAGTAAAACTAAGTTTGGCAATTTGAACAAACATTAGGCTCATTTTACATAAACTCAAGGAGAAATGAAACAACTAAAATGAAATTCTCAAGTAAATTTAGGCTTAGTTATTTTGGTTTCAAAACACGCAAAACGACTTGCTTTATTAGACAAACACGGGAACGTCGAAGCAGTTCAAACAACAAAATGCAAGGATTAAACACTCCGAATGACGCCGTCATGTCATTATTTCGCATAAATAAGAATTCCATAATTGCAAGGATAAAACAAACATGAATTCAGACGTGTAGGCATTTTGTTACTGTTTGCTTTGACTTGACAAATTAGTCTCATAGTATAAACACCAAGAGCGTAAGGCGTTATTAATTACTCCCTTAAACGAACAAAATTTCATACTTGTTTTCAAAATGTTCCTTTTTTATAATATAAGTACAAAATTAAATGAACTATCCGCTTTAACTGACATTAACTGGCTACAGCAGTTCATGGATACCTAGCATCCAGCCTAACAAAGAAGCCTAGTTAACAAAGAAGGAAAAAATGCGTTTTTTTATCTCTGAGAAACAAATGTATATGTAATACGTTCTCTTCACAGTCATACATATGCTTTACATGTTACGTGTCATGTTCACTTATTTCAGATCACAATTATCGATAATAAGTGTTTAACTCTGCCTCTCCTATACTATTATAACTATATATCCTATACTATAAATTAACAACTTTTAGGAAGTACTAGTAAAGCTTATATTAGTAGCGAAAATGAAAAAATAACTCAAAAAAAAACTGAATAAAAGTGTTGGAAAAATATAAAAATTATACTATAGTCAATAATAGAACAGTTCAATGTATTTATTAAAATCTTAAATATCTTATAGAATGGGTACAAAATTTGAGAAAAGAATTTGAAAAATGTTTACTTTAACTTCTAAATCAATACTTAGACAACTCTATGAAAAAACAAAAATGTACCTTAATTATAAAAGAACAGCACCCAAACTGAGGGAGCTAAAGCTTTATAAAACAAATTATCCGCAGTAACTGGCAAAAGTTCGAATAAAATACTGTAACGAATGAATTCTCGAGTCAAGTGTAAAGTACCCCAATCCAACTGAGATGTTCCTTTGAAGGAATAGCGTAAGTCCTGTTCAGCAAGTGGCACCGCCACTGCAGCCGGGTTCAGAATTATTGCCCACTTGTTGCTCGGGGAATTGATAACAGCACCGCTTTAGGATTTTGGGACGCATTCAAGAATGCAAATGTTTCCCTATGTTCGATGAATTACAAATACGTTGGCTATCACTAATTACAAATACTTACACAACCCAAAGAAAAATTAATTGTATTAACTCATATTATTGACAACATCATTCATTACGTTTATTAAATTTCCAGGTCCATTTTTATTGTCTTTCAAATTATATTCACATCACAAAATTAACATTTTTTTAACTAAATCATGTTTATTACAATATGAGTAAAGAATGCATGTAAATAATAAATAAAAAATTTAAAAAATTAAAAAAAATAATAAATAATGGGTTGGAAACCAACAATGTGAACCATAGATAACATGGTAGTAATATGGTGATAGTGTAGTTAACTACGAGGGATACAGTTATACAGCATTTTTATAGAATAAGTGTTACAAACGAGCACACAGTCCATCTGATGGTAAGTGGATGCTGTATACAATAGACACCTACATTTATCCTCGATTAAGAATCAAAACGCAGATGCGTTGTCAACCCAGAGGAATAAAATGGAATGTCTCGTTTCCAGTAAAAAAAGGGTCTCTGAATCTCTACACTCACCATGCGAAACACAGCAGTATTGAGCTGCTATTTCATGCTAGTATTCAGTGAGAGCGTGGTCCTTCCCCGGTCGAACCAACCCATTCGTGCTACAACCATAATATAGATTTATCAATTTAGCCTTATCCTTGTACAAAACACATTATAAAAAGGAAAATGAAGAGTCATGCCGACAAATTATTACTCTCATTTTAAAGTATTTTGTCCTAAAATATTTCTCATGTCATACTTATTTAAGATGGTTCACAAAAGAATACTTCATGTCAATGACAATTAAACTCATCAGTCTGCTTTCAGTATCAACAATTAGGCGTTCTCTCCATCGGTCGGTGCAAAACCAGTGCATCATCTTTGCCGAGGTATCATCGATGTTAACACCGGGTATATTATATTTCTTGATATCTCGACAAGATATCTCGTCTTGTCGAGATATCAAGAATATAAAGAAACTTGATATCTCGTCGCGTAATGAACACGACGCTGCATTTTTTGATTATCTTTGCCACTATAAAACAATATAGGTTTATAGGCATTTATGTATGGAAAGAAACGAAAAAATATTGCGTTTAATATATAAAAGTACATGACAAACGTAAACGTAAAGGAACGT